CATCATAGAATGCCAATTTAATAGAAGAAAGTATTCTTGCATTGAGGGAGTATTTGAGTAGAGGCCCAATGTCCTTCTGCTACCTTGATACTAAACCTATAAATATGTCATGCTCAGTCTTCATTTGAGTTTCAGTAATTCCTTTGGTTACATTACCCTTGATCACGGCCTACCAGCCCTCCTACACCCTCCTCACCACCAATTGGTATCACTTGTTGTTCCTTTGTCCCTGGATTTGTTAACACCACGAACTTTCCCCCCACCTCCTCCTCTCCTATGTCCCCCCGGAACTGTTGGTCCCGTTGTTTTCTCCTCCAGATTGTTCATCCAGACTATCTTATTTAGACAGACCGGTGGAATAATAACATGCACAAAAACAAGACAGAGCAAGCCAAGCAACAATATACAACAAAACAACAACAAACCAATGACCAAAAAATAAAACAAAACACAACAAGAAAGAAAAGCTTATAGTTAGTTCAAGGATCGTTTGTTGGCCTTTAGGAGTGTCTTCCAGTCCAGTCTGTTGGGGCACCTAGCCCTGGCCCCAAAGTCCACCTTCAGCATTCCCTGTGGACCACGCCGCTCCATTCCCTTGCTGTTCTGTTGCACCCCCTTAGTGTTTTGCCTCGGTGTGGTGGGATCAGATAGGGCGCAATTCGCACACTGTGTCTCTGGTGTTGTCCTCTGTGGGGCTGTGAGTCGGTGAGAGATGTCATGTCTCTTAGTGGGGCCGGTCATGTGGTCCTCTGTGTGGACTGGATGCTCTAATCGGGAGCATGGTCCTCAAGGCCTGGGGGGCCAGGATGTTCTCCACTCTCTCCTCCTCTCCCTTCATCTGCTTCTGTGTGCTCCAATCAGTCATGTCCCTCTCCCGGAGGTGCAGATTCAAAGCCATCCTTTGAAATAAATTCTTCTGGGGGGAGGGGCAGGTGTCCACGTAGTAGTTGGGGTTGGTCCATGAGGCCCAATTTTTATCGCCCATTTTGGGTGTCCTACTTGCTGGTGTGGAGCCCTGGTGGCATTGTGTGTGTTCACCATCAAGAAAGGCGAGGGAGGAACGATTGCTCTCCAGCCGAGCCCCGAGTCCGAGATGAGCAGTGTTGTTAAGTCTGCTCCTCACACCTCTCCTATTCCAGGTCTGACAAGGAGCGGGCTCCGGGGAGGGGGTCTCGTTTCCTCTGTGGCCTGCCACAAAGCGAAAGGCCACAGGAATCCCAGAGAAAGAGAACGTGGCTGGTACTGTTTTAAACCCCAAAGCACTGGGAGACCTGTGCTGGCGGAGGAAAAGGTCCCGACTTCACGGCGCTGAAAATAAGCGGTTTTTTTCTGTGATGCTCTGGACGTTCTTTGGTCACCAACAAACTCTGTCCTTTGTCATCATCTCACACGTCTCAGGAGACCCTCACGCTTGTGCCACAGAAACCCCGGAAGGAATCAAGCCAGCCCTTAGGAGAGAGATGGCTCCGTTCACACAATCAGGAGAGTCCTGTCCTCGCACAGAGCTGGCCACGCTACATGTTTCTTTCCGTTCTTCAGGGCCTGGCCTGGTCCAGCGCTTCCGGCCGGACTTCAAGCGCAAGTTTGCGGACTTTTTTGAAGATGATACCATCTCGGAATATATCTACCACTGCAATGCGCAGAATCCCAGGTAAGGGCAGCTGTGGAGTGGAAACTGCAGCTGCTGGGAAACTCGGGAACTATCTAGCCCCAATGGTTCTTCCACAAAGCCCTGACTCAGGGAGGGGAACCCAGGCATGATCATTTCCAAAGAGCTTCCCCAGGATAGGTACAACGTTAACACGCCTGTTTCACACTGAGCATTCCGCCTTAACAAGGCCGCAGCAGGGCCAAGACACCACCCTAAACAATACACTAGAGGCCCTGGTGGTGCGGTCTGGTGGGCGGAACACCAAGGCCTGCCGGTGCTGTTAGCAGGGGAGAGGTAAGGAGGTTGTACGGCACTGCAGGGGCTGGGGCAGGCAGAGAACAAATAGGGTCCCCACCCCCACCATTGCCCACAGCGTCTGAAGGGGTGAGGAAGGGGAGCAGCCGCACCACACTCCCCTCCTGCCCCCCACCCCCCAAGACAGCCGGGTGTGCCCGGGACACCCGTGCCAAAGAGGAGACCAGCCCCCTAAGGACCTGGACTTTGGAGTCTCACCAAGTCTGTCCCTGCGGAATGTGTGTGGGTAATTAAGCATACTGCCCTCACTAGGGGAGGACCCGCCCCCTCCCCTTCGCCCTCCCCCCGAGACAGGCAGGCAGCCCGTGGGTCAAAAGCTCCTCTTGTTCTCCCTCTTCTTTTGTTTTCTTTTTTGTTTTAATGGAAAAAGAACTATAAGCCTGGTATTTGTAAATAGAAAAACTACATGGGCTTTTGAATAAAAAGGTGTCTCCTGCCCAGGCCTGCAGGTCCCCAAAATTGGGCTTGGTATTTCCAATCTGTCCTGTGACATGGTTCCAAGAACAGTTCAGTGCATGTGCCTTGGCACACACGTGACTGTGCCTGTTGAATGCATTTATTCCTACAAACAGAACTGCTGTGTAAAGAAAGAGTGTGCACTTTAACATTTGATTGGGGTGGGGGGTGGTCTGAAACTAACTGCTTCCTGCGACAGAACATGCTTCCAGGCTTTGGAGGGTCCCCTGCCAGCCTGCTGATTCGAGACCTGGCCACTGTGGCCACCAGAGCCGAGCCAGGGAGGTGATCTTCCGTCACAAAGTACCCTGTGGGTTGCTGCTACCACGAAGCTGCGTGGGTGGCACTTCTGTGGGGCCTCACCCTGATCTGCCAGGAGGCACCCTGGGAGCCCAGGTCACTGCCTCCCCTGCCCGAGGCCATCCAAGTCTTCCCCTGTGAGTCCACAGCCACCAAGAAGGGGGAGTGGGGGGGGCCTTGTGTCCTAACAGTACTGTCTGAGCATTGGCTGCAAACTCAGACAGCTTTTTTCCCAACAAAGTGGGAGTCTCTACCCAACAGTCCACACGAGCTTGGCTAATCGGAGGGCCCCAGTGAAGCGGGAGAATGGGGAACCTCAACTCAGCAGTCAGGTCAGGTAGCCCTCTAGCTTCCTGCTCCCAAGTCTTCTCTCAGCCCCATCTGGGCTCAGTGCCAACCTCATACCCACTGGGAGGCCCACATGCCCAGCCTAGCCCTTTCCTTTCCTCAAAACATGCCCTAGTCCCAGTCCTCATTCTGTCCAGATAACCTCCCAAATCCAAGCCACGGTCCGTACTTGAAATCCGTTACGTGCCCCAGAGGAAGCAAAGAAGGCATCCATGATACAGGGATAAGCAGTCTCCTAACCCCCAAATACCATCTCTCAATTCTACAGTCCCTTGAGGGATTTGTTGTGTTGTAACACACCTGACACGGCATCTCACGTGAGAGCCTGCGCTTTATCTGTCATACTGTGATATCGGACTGAAAGGTTCTGGTGGCCCGGGAAAAAAGTCAGGCTCCCCTTCATCCCACAAGAGGGAAAGGAGAGCAGGGAAATCGCTCCAGCGGACAGGCCAGGCCTGGTAGGTTGGCAGCATCTAAAACAGGCCCTCCCTGCCTTCCACACAGCACCAGAGCCACCCAGACCACCCCATACGACAATGGGCCCAAGTGGGTCTACTGGAGTAAACGATTAGGGAGTAAGTAGATTCACTGGGCATCTGTCACTATGCCTCCTGGACCCTGTGTTCGTTAACCTCAGAGTCTCCTCAGGAAGCCCTTTTGACTCAATTCTGTACCCTTTGCTCCTCAGAGCTCACCCGCGGTGTCTTCCTTGATCCACTCCCTCTCCCTCCCAGCCAGGTGAAGGCCCCCCACCCCCAGCCCGCCCAGCCTCACCTCGGTGTTCTCCGAGCGCTCACCCGCTCTTGCACAATTCTTGGGCACGTCTCAGCTCCCCAGTTAACCATCTTATAAGTGGTTTCACACCTCCCTTCCTGGAGCATCCCGGGCGAGCAGGCACCACGTCTGTCCTGTTCCTCCAGCCTCGTGACGCGGCCGGGGCATGACGGGTAATGAGTCGCAGCATAAAGGACTCGTTTCCACCCTTGGACAAGTCCCGAGGCTGTGTAGCCACCTCGGCCCTCTTTTTCTTCTGTCAGCGGCGAGACAGCGTTCAAAGCCATGATGGAGTCCTTTGGCTGGGCCCGGCGCCCCATGCTGGATCGAATTCACTTGATTCGGAAAGACGTCCCCATCACCATGATCTATGGGGCCAACACCTGGATAGACACCAGCACAGGCCAAAAAGTGAAGATGCAGCGGCCAGACTCCTACGTCCGGGACATGGTACGTTGAGGGGTCGAGGTGAACATGCTGGGAGCCGAATGACGGCACACGTTCACGCATGGTCAGGATAGCGTGCCTCGGGTCAGTGACAGGAAAGAACAGTCCAAGGCTTGGGGGAAAGAGGAACTGGCCGCCGACCCCAGTCGACCTAAGAGGGTTGGTAATATCAAAATGTGTCTGTGTTGGTGAGGAAGGGCGGGGGGGTGGGGGGGTTGTCCCACCTCTGTGTAGGCCAGTTTAGCTAAAAGTCATGCCCATTGGGCAGATGCAAACATCGGGGTGTCCCTCCACACCAAAACTCACCCCCATGAAGTCAATTCTGACTCCTAGCCAGCCACTCTGCACGCCCACCCAAAGTCTCAGCTGGCAATGAGGGCTCTCCCTGAGCCTGCCCACCACACTTCTTTCTGCCTGCTGCCTGCCTGCCTCTCTTAGCTCACTCCATCCTCATATGCCACAAACCCACAGCAGTCCAGTGAGTTCTGACCCATCGCACCTGGGCCAGGGCTTCTCACCTGCCAACAGACATTGCCAGACCTTGAGATGAGGGGGAGACATCATTGTGGTGGCATGGGCAGGGGGCGCGGGGTGTGGCTGACACAGAAGGAAACGTTACAGAGAAGGACCATGGGGGAGGCAGTATGGGACGTGGGGATTCACTGGCTTCCAGAGAGTGCCAGATCAAGGGAGGACGGGAACCACTGTTTTTGAAAAGCGCCCTGGGTGGCAGGCAAAGCGGGTCTGAGGAGGCGACCAGGGATGGGACAGCTTTCTTGAGTCCCTGACAAAGAAGCCCTGCCGGCTCTGCCCCACACAGGAGATCGAGGGCGCCTCCCACCACGTCTACGCCGACCAGCCGCATGTCTTCAACGCCATGGTGGAAGAGATCTGCGATTCGGTGGACTGAGCCTGCCCCACCGAGGGAAGAGGGGAAAGCCGGAGAGAGTCGCTCTCGCCTCCCCGGTCTGCTTACTCACCTCCCCACCTCCCCCTGCCCTTTCCTTCACCAACTAACATGGGCCAGCCGGCCGCCCCTGGGCAGGAGCACAGACAACACCGCACTCCTGGCCCCATGCTGAGGGCTTGGAGACTAAGCCACCAGAGGCCTTGAGCTCCCACCCTGGGAGGAAGCCCCAAAGGGTGTGCCGTGCCGCCCACTCACTCCATGCCAAACGTTCCCCGGATGATAATGATTGTGCCAAAGAGAGGGCCACCCCTCTTCCTTGGGCAAAGAAGGGGTTCCTAGCATCCTCCCCCAGTTCGGTGGTGTTCGCAGGGACAGGTTCCCAGCAAGAGCATCCTGCTGCGTCTCCCCCTCCCCCCTGCCCCCATGGCTGGACCTGTTTCCGCAGAACTTCTGGGATATTCGGATTCCCTTCCCTCACCTGAGCA